GAGAAGCACGAGGAAAGAAAAATCGACGACAAGTCGCGGCGTTCGTGACGCGTGAGCCCCATCGAGATGAAACCGGGGCTATGCAAAGTTGTTGGAAACTTTGAGTGCAACATCCTCGAACTTACATTTAACTACGAGTTCGCCCTAAGGATTAACGCAGTATCGTCGTAATTACGCGAAGAACGAGGGAAACGTGGCTTCTATCGCGTTCGCCACAAAACAAGTCAAATTAATCTCGTCTCGGCCTAACGACGCGACCCTTCGGCTTCGTTACTCGCGATTTTCTAGCTCGAGGAAACGGGAAAATAAACGGAAGAGAAAAGGAAAAAGAAAAAATGAAAAAAAGAAAAACGAAAGAGAAACTCTTTCCACTTTGTCGACAAATATCGACTTTACGGCGAATTAACTTTCACGGATGTTTTCAGTTTATCCGACTCTCGTTCGACGACGCTCCATCGACCAAGTTAACGCATCGCGTCCGTTCTCGTTTTTCCCGTGTTTCCAACAGCTTTCGATTTCGCGAGTCCCGTCGTCGTCCTCGTCCTCCTACTCCTACTCCTACTCCTACTCCTACTCCTACTCCTACTCCTACTCCTACTCCTACTCCTACTCCTGTTTATCTGGAGAAACGCGGATAAATCGATCCGCTTCTCGCGGTACGTCCAAGAATAGAAATTTCGAGGTATCGACCGACCTGTCCGTTCCTCCGCCCTCTTCTCTCCCACCTTTTCCTTTTTCTCCTCGTCCTCCGTAAACCGTTTTACGAACTTTTTCCGGTATATTGAATTCTGATTCTATTCTCGAACACTCGAACACCGGTATATCCGGTCGCATCTAGCGATATCGCTGAACCGTCTTCTCGAAGGCGAAGTCTCTGTTTCCCGTACTGGGAAATAGAAATGGGAACGGGAACGGGGATGGGAACCCCTGAAATGGGATATCCTCGCAGTTCCAATGGCTTTTCCTAACTTTCGATCCCACGGGACTGACCGCGGCATACCGGACTCTGGCACCGTCTACTACGCGCCTGCGCACCCCTTCGGCCCTCGGTCTCGATCGTCTCGTAAACGAATGCCAAAGGGAACAGTGATTCGCGATAACTTACGATCGTTTGTTCGTTGCAGCCGAGAAATTGCCGAACGGTTTCCCCTTGATATCTCAGTCGCCGACGACCAAGGTGGTGGAAATGGGTCACAACACGGTGCTTGTCTGCACCGCCATCGGTTCACCGCCCCCCATCATATCTTGGGTACGAGACATGATGCCCATCAACACCAGTAATCCACGATACACCGTTCTGGATACCGGTAAGTATCTCTCTCTCTCTCTCTCTCTCTCTCTCTCTCTCTCTCTCTCTCTTACTTACGCGCTTTACGCCTACTTTTAAGCAAATCTCCATCGAGATCGCGATCCGGCGATTCGCCATTCGAAAGATCGAAGATGTTGAATAGCGATGTACACATAGAGGTAACAATGGGGCGAAGCTCGGTGGCGCGTGTCATATCTCGTCGAGTACCAGAGTGCGTAAGTCACTGTCAACTCGCGGTAGCGTTGATCGAGTGGTCACGCGATATGGGAACATCCAACGCATCCATCTCGTTTCCCGAGAGCCAACGTACACCTGCTCTTCTGTGCTCCGCTCTCTGCGCGCCAAGTACGCTTCGCGTCTACTCGTACGCGAATCCGCGCGTTACGTTGTCCGCGTTTCCCGCCGATCCAATCTCCAACGCGAATAATCTCGGAAAATCGATTAAAAATCGACCGCGAGTTTTCCCTTAACCGTAATCGACTCGATCGACGGATAACGCGGCCGTGACTCGGTCAGCCGCTCGTTATTCTCTCGTGACGCGTGCCTCGTTCCCGGATCCAAGTCGATAACTAATGCCGGTGCATAAAGCGGCCCGTATCACTCGCGTCATTTCACGCGCTCTCGATACGTTTGACGAACCAGCCGAAACCGTCCATCGATCCATCCACCGATTTCTCGATCAACGGCGACGAAACGCGCCGCGACCAGTTGGGTCGTTTTCGAAAATGCTTTAAACGGCTGTTAGCCGAGAATTAGCGACGAATCGTCGCTTGCCCCAGCATCTTTTGCCAGTCGCGATCGAGCGTGTAATCGGACCACCGTTAAAATGTCAAATTTCGACCGCTCGAGTGAACGGTGAAACGAGAAGACTGCTGTCTCGGGATAACGAGACGAGAACGAACGAGTGGACGAGTCGACTAGCGAGACTCGTACCTATATACCTATAGCGAGGTTATTTCGCTAACGCACGACCTAACCTATTATCGTTATTTTTCCGTAGCCAGTGGCGAATATGTATATACGTGTATGTAAAATACACGTATATATGTAATATATATAAAACGTACACTTTGTTTTTATCACAATGGCGGTATCATTATCGAACGGCACGTCACGTAATACCGGCGTGCACTTGCCCGACTATCTTTACGACGGCCGGTGCAGTTTGCCGCGACGTGAAAAGTATACATTAGATGCAGGAAAGCTGGCTGCATACACGCTAGTATCGTTCGGCTGTATCGTGAACCGGGATACGCGTACGTGCACGCGTTATGCATATATCTGGCTGCCTAGTTCTCTGCTTAGAGTTGCCTGCCTAGCCATCTGCCCGCTCCCGCACCGCTCCTGTCTCTACCTCGCCGTATCCAGCCTAGACGCATCCATCAAATTTCTTACCGTCTGACCACTCGACGATTTCACTCTTCGACGCGAATTTTAAACTCTAGTATCGATTTGGTAACCTCGTGGAGTTTGCTTTTCTCAAACCGAGAAACCGTAATCGAAATTGCTCTATCACCCTTGATTCTTTCTCTGGAAACGCGCGATTCTTGGCTAAAACGAAGTGTCGAGTCAGAACGTTTCGTCTCCAAAGTTGGCCCGAGTTGATCGATGTCCATGATTATAATTATTTGCGTGTTCGAATAATTATAATTGGATGTCAGAATTTAAAAATAAACTGTTCGTGCATCTTGAGGAAAAGTTCTTTGTCTGACACGAGTTTCCACGCAGTGCCGTATTCTGTGGATTTTTCCGTACATTTTAATAAAAGTACGTCATGAATTCAAGTAATGGCGAATAATTTATTAGTCTGGCCGCTTTTATTATAAATTTCCGTTGCGAAGAATTTGTTATTATCGATATTAACTTGTTATTAACTACAAGCGTAATAATTTATAAAGTTTTTGCAAGTTATCGGTATATTTGTTCTTTCATAATATAAGTTTGCGTGATGCATTTATCTTAAGTATTGCTACTTTTTCGACATGAGAAGAAATCTTCGTTCGTTTTTCCTGCTGTATTCGTACTGTGATTCCTTCTAAACAATTTACAAATTTTCCGAGACTGTTCTATTATCTATTTCGTGTAGATGTAAAAATAAGTGAATAAGATCTAATAAATCTAAATCACTTTTTAATCATTTTTAGTTATTTATTCCATCAGCATGCGTTCTTTTCATATTGATTTCTATTGCTTTTTTAACCGTTTTAACGGTATAAGTTGGTTATAAGTTAAATATAAGTTAGTTATAAATTAGTTATGAATTAGAAATAAAATAATCATTAATTAGATATAAGTTAATTATAGTTTATATATAAGTCGGTAAAAAGTTTCAGATATTTTAATGATTAGTATCTCTTGTACCAAGATAAAAATTATGATGAACTAAGGTAAGTAAGATAAGTAAGGTAAGTAAGGTAAGTATAGTAAGTATGGTAAGGTAAGAAGAATAATTAAAATCTCCTGCAATTAGCAGACTGTGTACAGTATAGATATACGCGCACAAATGCTGCGAAATTTGTCTCTATAAATTTCTTAGAACGTGACGTCATTTCTTGGAATCGACCCGCAAGAAGACCTTCTCTCGTGTTATGTTATCCCAATACAAAGTCCCGAAATCGGCCAAAGGTTGCTCGCCAAGGCGGCAAAAGAATTGTCCAAGGCGACTCTTGGAAATCACGTCGTTTCCAGGAACTCTGTGTTATATCTTGATAATATACAATTATAGAAATGTCAGTCAACGCCATCTATGATTTTGGACAGGAAGTTTGTGCTACAGTTATTAATATCAAATTCGAGAAATGTCAGTCACCGCCATCTATGATTTCCGACTGAAAGCTTGTGTTATAATTAATAATTAAAAATTCTTGAAATGTCAGTCAGCGCCATATCTGGCTTTGGATTGGAAGATTTTCTCACACTCCGAAATCATAGATCACACTGACTGACGTTCCTTCAACTATATATTAGGAACGCATAACACGACAGAAGGTAACTTGCCGACACAGTTCCAAGAAATGACGAAATTTCCGAGAATTTCATGGTCAATACCTTTCGCTGCCAGTGTAAAATTTTCGGTCGAATTTCGCGATTTTGTATCAGGATAGCATAATATGACAGGAGGTCGCCCGATGATCGATTCCAGGAAATGACATCATTTTCGAGAATTTCATGGACATTTATTTATTCCGAATACAAAATCGCAGATGCCAACAGAAAATTTAACGAAGAGACAGCAAAAGAAGTGTCCATGAAATTCTTGGAAATGGCATCATTCCTTGGAACTCTGTCGGTGAGCGACCTCCTGCAATGTTATGTTATCTTGATACAAAATCGCGAAATCGGACGAAAATTTTACATCGGGGAAAAATATCTGGCCGATTTCGCGATTTTGTATCAGGAGAACATGATATGTCAGGAGGTCTACCGTCGAGACAGTTCCAAGAATTTACGTCATTTCCAAGAATTCTCCGACAATACCTTTGACGCGTCGGGGAAAAATTTCTAGCCGACTTCGCGATTTTGTATTAGGATAACATAACATGAAAAGAGGTCGCTCGTCGAGTCAGTTCCGAGAAATGTCGTCATTTCCAAGAATTCTCTGAACAATACTATTGCAGCACGGCGAAAAATTTTCAGCCGATTTTGTCTCTTTGTATTAGGGTAACATAACATGATAGGACGTTGCTCGCCGACATATTCCATTATTTTACATCATCTCCGACAATTCTCTGGACAATACCTTTTCTACTTTGCAGTACATTTTAATAATTTTACTTACCTTATACTTACCTTATGCTTACCTTGCTTACTTACCTTCCCTTACTTGCATTCACTTCCTTACTTACAAGGAGTGTGCAAGTCCTTCGGGTCACCGATTTAGTTGAAACTTTGCAGCTTTGTAGACATCGTCATGTAGTTTAAGAAAATATATTATTATAGCCGCAATTACTAAATAGTTTTTAAGATATTTGCGATTAAAGTTTTATTGCATCATGAATTACACATTTATCTCCAATGTGTTTCAAGTCAGGTTGTAGTGTAACTGGGACGATCAAAAATTCATATATGGGAGGACTGGGGTTCGATTCCCCTCGCAGAGTTTTGACAATCTTTTTAAATATAATTTTTGTTTTTATTTATTTTTCGCCTATGAAAGCATTATAAATACACAAATATAAATAAAATTTCTTAATAAAAAAAATTATTTTTTACGCTTTCTTATATTAGTATATATCTATCACAAAATAATAAGAATATTACGTAAGAGAAATACTTTTCTACAGCAATCTTATTTACTACGGAAAATACAAAACTATCGCTTGTATAAGTATTAATTATTAAATTAAACATTGTATAAGGATGTTGCATATAATTCCAACTTTACTGTGCAGCTATAAATGTTCATAAATTAATTAGAAAAGCTTGGTAATTAATTAATTTTATATTGCCAAATAAATAAAAATTTTACCGCCTGCGATCAGTGCCATCTATGATTTGGGCTCAAAAATCAAGAAAGTAATAGGAATATAGAATAGGCAAGGAGGTCGTCGAAGAGCTCGTCACGTGGTAGACAAGGACAGGGAGGGGATAGAAAAGGATAAAATGGATCCGGCCGTGAAGAATTATTAATTACTCAATTTCCGTAAACAATTTGTTAACTTTTATAATTTCATTGCAAAGCTAGTATATCAGGCTGAATTCCTATATAATTTTCGTAAAGAATTTAGCTCTAAATTGTTACTTATTAATTTTTATTTGATGGCGTCTTTGATTTCGTAACGGCGACCATCACGATCTTCTGTGAAAATATTTAATACTCAACGAAACTAGAAGCAAAATGTGAGCAAAAGTTATATGAGAAGATTCGCAAGGACATTGTTTTTATAATGAGTGCTTAAAGTTTCATAAATTAATTGCGGAAGGGATAGTAATTAATGAAAAACCAATGGCGTCTTCGACAACAAATCAAACACTGCGCAGAACAATTATTAATAATTA